TAGCAGCTCACCACAGTGATTTGCGCCATTTTAACCCAGACGTAGCAGCGTCCTACCCCGCTGCTCTCTGCGCGATGGTTGGGGTTAGCAATCCATATCGCGGCCGAGCCTGATTGGTCAACATGCCAGGTTTCTTTTGTTCTATAGGGTTCACTGATGGTGACAACGTCTGCTCTTTGTTCAAGAACGAATTGGTCCAGCAGGTCTTCAGCTACCCTACTCCTGTTCATATTGCCTTGTATAAATTTAATCATATTCTCCCAAGCTTTGTCTTAGCCTCAGCAAGGGCATCCCTGAAGGCCTTGCACGCTCCCGACCCGGGCAGGTGATGGGAATTTTTCTGTCCATCTCCTGCCGAGCACAGGTAGCAGCTTGGGCTTTCTTTACACGCAGAGGCTATGTGGCCCTGCTGACCNTTGTCTTAGCCTCAGCAAGGGCATCCCTGAAGGCCTTGCACGCTCCCGACCCGGGCAGGTAATTGGCATTTTTCTGTCCATCTCCTTCCGAGCACAGGTAGCAGAATGGGCTTTCTTTACATGCAGAGGCTATGTGGCCCTTCTGACCGCATTTCCAGCATGAACTGCTTCTGTCTGGGCCTTTGCATGCCGCCTTTTTGTGGCCATACCCCAGACAGCGGAAACACCTTTGGACATCCGCGCGCTCTCGGACGCGGCAGATAATCCAACCTACTCGCAGCTTCCCCTTTTCAATAAGAGTCCGGCCTGGCAGTTCATCGATTTCCACCACGGCCATTCTTTGTTCTCGCGAGTTTACAGCGAGGAGAGAGACGCGAAGTTGGCCATTCATCTTGTCTCCTAACTCCCCGCGTATAGCGTTCTCCACTTCTGGGGCCGTGGTTAGGCAGTCCATGCCCAGAACTTCTAGACGTAAACGTCTAGTGAGAATACGGGCGTCTGCAAGCTGGCCAATGGCAGTGCACACGTTTTCCTTAAATGCTGAGTGGTCGCCACGGCGCTCCATTTCGATGAGCACGCCGCCTTCGCGGGTTTTCCGAACAGATCGAATTACGGTCTCCGTCTTCTCGGGTTGGAGCTTACCACGTATCGTTCCCAGCACCTCTGCATAGGTTTTGCCTTTAGCTGGCTTAATGATTAATTTGGCGAGACTCTTCTTTTTTCTAACCTGGCGCTGGCCCTGGCTTGGGCTGTCTGCTTTTTCCAACCGTTTTCCATTGATTTTCTGGTACGGTTTTCTGTGCATTAAGCCGAGCACAGGTAGCAGCTTGGGCTTTCTTGATATTATTATTATTATTGTTATTTTTATTATTAATATTATATTATTATTATTATTATTATTCCTTTGCATGCCGCCTTTTTGTGGCCATACCCCAGACAGCGGAAACACCTTTGGACATCCGCGCGCTCTCGGACGCGGCAGATAATCCAACCTACTCGCAGCTTCCCCTTTTCAATAAGAGTCCGGCCTGGCAGTTCGTCGATTTCCACCACAGCCATTATTTGTTCTCGCGAGTTTACAGCGAGGAGAGAGACGCGAAGTTGGCCATTCATCTTGTCTCCTAACTCCCTGCGTATAGCGTTCTCCACTTCTGGGGCCGTGGTTAGGCAGTCCATGCCCAGAACTTCTAGACGTAAACGTCTAGTGAGAATACGGGCGTCTGCAAGCTGGCCAATGGCAGTGCACACGTTTTCCTTAAATGCTGAGTGGTCGCCACGGCGCTCCATTTCGATGAGCACGCCGCCTTCGCGGGTTTTCCGAAAAGATCGAATTACGGTCTCCGTCTTCTCGGGTTGGAGCTTACCACGTATCGTTCCCAGCACCTCTGCATAGGTTTTGCCTTTAGCTGGCTTAATGATTAATTTGGCGAGACTCTTCTTTTTTCTAACCTGGCGCTGGCCCTGGCTTGGGCTGTCTGCTTTTTCCAACCGTTTTCCATTGATTTTCTGGTACGGTTTTCTGTGCATTAAGCCGAGCACAGGTAGCAGCTTGGGCTTTCTTGATATTATTATTATTATTGTTATTTTTATTATTAATATTATATTATTATTATTATTATTATTATTTGTAACAACCTCCCTTTATGCTCTAAATAAAATACTTGTTTTAATCGGTAACCTTGTAATGCTTCTTTTATTCGTTCTATTCGCTTCGATGCTTGTACACGACTGTCTCTAAAGTACGTGTTCTACTATGCTAAAGTGTTATACTATTATGGCGTGTTCTCACGCTCCGATGCAGCTCTCCACATCTCTCCCTTATTTTGGAGTTTCAAACGAAGCTTAGGCTGAGCCTCTGGTGCCCCAGTTCCGCGATTATCAGGTTCAATATCAGGATTAGACTGAAGCGTTGATGAAGATGATGGCGAGCCATCGGTATAGACTTCTGCTGGAGTATTAGCGCTCTGTGGAGTTGTTGAAGATGATGCCGAGGAATCGGTTACTCTGTTGTCTGGAAAGGAGGATGGCAATTTCTTAACGTGGCTGATGTTCCTTCGGAATGTCTTCCCTCCGCTAGCTACGGTGACTTCATTTCCGTTCCTTTCGATAACTTCGTACTCAGTCGTATCAAAAGTTGTTGTAAGCTTATGCGGGAAAACCACATTACGCAGTAAAACCTTATCTCCCGGTGCAATATCAGTAATCGTTGTTCTTCTCTTTCTATCACCCCTTTCCTTTCCTTTTTGTTTGTTGATAGTATCTATATCTCTAGCAGCAGAATCTAACATGTCTTCTGTTATATCTTCAATTCCAGGAATCTTATCACGAATCACTCGATTGAACATCAATTGAGACGGCGGTGACCCAGTAGTGCCGTGAGAAGTCACATTGTACATTAAAATGAAGCTTTGAATCTCTTTTATATAATCCCGTCTATTGTTATGAGCAATTTTTAAACGCTTGACCAAAGATCGGTTCATATTTTCCACCTCTCCATTGGATTGTGGCCAATATGGTGGAGTCGTTATTAAAGTGATATTATTGTCTTTGCAGAATTGTCTAAACTCGCAGCTCACATATTGCCTGCCATTATCTGCTCTAATGGATTTTGGTATACCCAATCGACAAAATATTTCGTTCAAGGCAGTAATAATTGTTTGAGTTGTAATTCTTTTCAAGAACTTGATTTCTTGGTAACGGGAATAGTAATCGATTAGTACAAATATATAGTCATTATTTGGCAATGGGCCTAGCAGGTCCGTGGCCGCACACTGCCAAGGGCCATTCGGGAATGCGTGTCTTTTCATAGGAGTCGGATTATTCGGCTGTGAAACCAACAAACAATCCCAGCAATTCTTTACATACGTCTTAACCTCCCTGTCAACCAGTGGCTACTAAACTTTTGTCCTTATCCTCCTTTTCATTGCTGATTCGCCCGGATGCCCTTCATGTGCTAACTCCAATAGCCTGGGGCGAAGAGCCTTTGGCATGACGATGCGAGTTCCACGTAGTAATATATCATCTACGGCCACAACTCTTATTTCTTCATCTTGGGCACTCTTTTTTGCAATTTCGGAGATAGTGAGAGAAGATGGAGTGGAATGCGAAATAATTTGAAAAATATTTTGTTCTCCATTGTCATCAAAATTGCCTGTACTTTCAATTTTGCATAGCCTCGAGACTGAATCTGCGATATTTTCTTTTCCTGAACGATATATTACCTTAAACTTATAAGATTGCAGCCTCAGTAGCCACCTTTCTATTCTTGCGGGCGGATTAGATGTGGGTTTGAAAATAGCTTCCAATGGTTTATGGTCAGTGACCAATTCAAACTCTAAACCGGCTAAATAATAAAAGAATCTCTCCACCACCCACACGAGAGCCAAACTTTCTTTTTCTGTTTGGGAATACCTTTTTTCCACATCTAAAAGGCTTTTACTGCTATATGAAATTATTTGTGGATCGCCACTCGGATTGAATTGAACGAGAACTGCTCCTAAGGCCACAGGACTCGCATCCGCTATCAGTCGGGTTTTGTGCTTGGGATTGAAATATGACAGCTTTGGTATGTCCGACAGTAGTACCTTTAATTTTTTGAAAGAATTTTGTTGAGCCGGGCCCCACGTAAACTTAGAGCCTTTCTTTAATATGCTTCTCAATGGTTCAGTAATATTTGCCATATCCGGAATAAATTTACTAACATACGTAACCAGGCTAAGGAAACTCCTAATCTCTTCTTTACTTTCCGGTGCTCGAAAATTACTAATCGTGTCGATCTTTCCTGGATCTGGAGCTATTCCATCATCAGACAAAATGTGCCCAAGGAACTTTAACTTTTTAACCCGCCATACGCACTTATCATAGTTAAGTAAAAAATTATTCTTTTTAAAAACTTCCAGGACCTTCTCCAAAGCTTCATTGTGATCTTTTTCCGTGATACCAAAAATAATGACATCATCGATGTAGTTTAAACAATTCTTACATGGAGATAGTAATTCTTCTAGTACCCGTTGAAAAATCTCCGGAGCGGAGTTGATACCAAACATCAGCCTTTTGTAACGGAAAACTCCCTTATGCGTTATGAATGTAGTGATTTCTCTACTCGATTCATCCAATTCGAGCTGATGGTACGCCCATTTCAAATCAAGTCTCGAGAACAACTTAGCTCCCCTCAACTTGGTCATAAAGTTGTCGAAAGTTGGCAATGGATAATTTTCCCTAAGCACCGCCTGGTTTGCTCTACGCATATCAACACATAAACGAATTTCCCCATTATCTTTAAAGACGGCTACAATAGGGGAGATCCACGAGCTTGGCCCAAGCACCGGTTCAATAATGTCTTGAGCGAGTGCTTCATTTATCTTCTGCTCAACTTTCTCCTCAATTACGATCGGTATCCGCCGCATAGGCTGTTGAATTGGCTTTACCGAAAGGTTCAATGATAACTTTATCTCAATATTTCTAATTTTTGGAAATGGGGTTTCGGTATCAACATTATTCACGCCTCGACCTAGTTTTAGAACATGAAGCTTGATTGCTGTCTCACGACCCAGAAGGGATTGGTTAGCGTTTTCAATTAAATAAAATGTAGCAATTACTTCTTTATTGCCTTCAACTGTTATGGGTGCTTCAAAAACAAAAAGAACTTTTAGGATCTGAGTTGCTGCATAAGCTTTGAATTGATTTGTTGACTGCCTTCGGACATTGAATAAAACTGCCTTGTTATTCTGCAATTCAACCCACTGTCTTTGGCTCAGGAGGTTAAAACGTGATCCCGAATCAATAATCATTGAAACGGTATGTCCCCCAATACGGCATTCAATTATCTCATCTCCTGAACCAATACAATTTACTTTAAAACACCCATGGCTGCACGACTTATCCTCCATATTTCTTCCTTGTTCGGCAATGTAATTAATATTAGAATAATGAAAACGTCGCTTTTTCGGACTGCCCCGTTCATATTCACCAGATTTACGCTTCTGACCCTTTGTCTTACACTTGCGGGCACAATGACCTATTAGACCGCATATATTGCATTTGGACTTTCGCGCCGGGCAGCTTGCATCGGAGTGTATGTGCCCCGATTTGCCACATCTTCCACATTTCTTGCAGTTATCCCTTATCTGCTGTCTTGACGAAATTTTGCTGACCGCCTCGCAGTCGGACTTTGGAAACATACTCTGGGACTGCTTATTAATTTGTTCGTAGACCTGACACGCTCCGATAACTTCGTCTAAACTTTGTTCCTTTTCAAGAAGTCTTTTCTTAAGCTCGACAGGTGCCCAAGAATCAATTAATTTGTCTTTCAAACAATTATTTTCCATTTCGTTCTTTGTTGATCCAAAATCACATTTGGACACTTGATGTCTTAGTCGTAGCAAAAACTTATTAAAATCTTCCCCTTCCGATGGACAGAGGCTCCTGAATAAATGCCTTTCAAATGTAGAGTTACGCTTGGGTGAAAAGAAATTGTTAAATTTTTCTACCAAAATATTGAACACATCATTTTTGTTTTCTTCGTAGATTTCTACAAGAGCGCCGGGGATGTTAAATATAACCTGTTGTAATTGGGGCCCTCCTAAATGCATCAGCTTATTCCTTTGTTTAACAGCGTCACTTATTTCTTCGGACTGAAGGAATAAAGACAAGGAACGGAACCATTTTTCCCACTCATTACGTAATAGAGATTTGTCTATGTTGTCGCATAAGAATGGCTTAAACTCAGTCATTTTAGCTTGAAAATATAACAAACTGTCTTCCACAGTTTTACCTGTAATGTGTTTTGAAAAAAAAAAAGATTCAGAGCCCAAGGTACTGAATATACACTCAGAAATTTAATGCACGTACCTTGCTTTTCGCTTTAGCCAATTGAATGGTCCGACAGCAAGCACAATTAAATGTGCACACTTAGTAGCACTCTAATGTTTATGTGTTTTACCAATTAAATGGTACAAATCTTTAATAAGTCGACAAGCCCAATTTAATGCGCTGCTTTAGTAGCAGTTTAATATGAATGTGTCTCTACCAATTGAATGGCCACCTTAACCTATTTATAGCTTTGACGTTTCGTTTTGTGCACTGCTTCCTTCGTTCTGGTACATTACAATTATTGACTTAGCAACGAGTTAACTAACATACGCATGTAGATGTGTGTAATTTCGCCAGAGCCTCAGTTTCACTCATATACTACTTTTCACCACGAAGCAGCAAGTAATTGTATTCAATCGTTCTTTGCTTTTCACGCGCTGGTGTGTTGAAAATAATGTAGTTATATCTATTATGTCTTGCCTGTTATACAAATAGCTGACGGCTTGCAAAAATTCACCACTTTGCTGATGCAATGCCTGCAATGAAACACCTATATAAATTAAGAAAAAAAAAGTAGCTACGAATATTCAGAAATATTCCTTCTATGCGTGGTCCGCTCACGATTCAATTCTCGTCGCCAATGTAACAACCTCCCTTTATGCTCTAAATAAAATACTTGTTTTAATCGGTAACCATATAATGCTTCTTTTATTCGTTCTATTCGCTTCGATGCTTGTACACGACTGTCTCTAAAGTACGTGTTCTACTATGCTAAAGTGTTATACTATTATGGCGTGTTCTCACGCTCCGATGCAGCTCTCCACATTATTATTATTATTATTATTATTATTATTATTATTATTATTAATTTGGCGGTCCTCAATTGGTTAGGTGTTAAGCAACAAATCTTCTGTTATACTATGAAATTCATTAAAAATATTATAGATGTTATTTCGAGGGTAGAATAAAGTATGGCAATGATATACATTCAAACACACCCGTAAAAAACCGACTTTAACTTACCCATGTTTAAATGAGAGTCTGATAGGAGTAATCTCTATTATAAGGGTCTACAATGTTGCAATGAATTACCTAATAGTATTACCCAATGTAAAAACATAACTGAATTTAAAAGAAAATTATTTGCGTACTGTAAGACTGTTTCAATATAACTAATGTGTTCTATTTCTATCCTCGCTAAGATTCCGTTGCCATTTACTTACGCGCCGCGAAATTTTAAATGTATGTATATAAATGAATTCCATTACAAGTAGTCCTATTAGGCTTAAGTATTGCATTTTTAAATACTAGGTAAAGCTTATAATTTAATATTGTTATGATCTAGGTTCAAAAGAGCCGTAAGAAATAAATAAATAAAATTATTATTGTTATTATATATTTTTTGTGTGTTCATAGCAGAGGGAAACGCTGTATGCACTGGCCGGAGGCGCTACCCTGTAGGGAAACGAACTAGTGCGGAACTGGTTCGGTTCTAGTGCGTTTGGAACCATGACTAGTATGCGTTAGTTCTCTTTTGCATGCTAGCGACTGGCGAATTTAACATTGCGATGTCCTAGGAAGTGTCAATTGTACCCCGTTGCATCCCATTGGCTCTAGTTCCGAACCAGTTCTAAATTCGACAGATAACATCTAGTTCGTTTTGCTTATAATTTGCCTTTTTCTATAGTTCCGAACCAGTTCCAAATTCGACAGATGAGATCTAGTTCGTTCTGCATCCCCTTTTTTTTAGTTCCAAACCAGTTCTAATTCGACAGATGAGACCTAGTTCCATCTGCATCCATTTTTTATATGTAGTTCCCAACCTGTTATAAATTCGTCACCTTAGATATATATTTCTAATCAGGCTTGTCGAAACATTTCCCTTTTATATTAAATACCATCGGTTGAAGGAAGGACAATACCATCACAAATGTTTAAACGCATTTATTAAAAATTTATAAGCCACATTAGAAGTAGTAGTAGTAGTATTAAACTTAAGTAGTAAGTAAAAAACAAAAGTGCGTTCTGCTTAAAAGTTAAAATATTAGTTCACTTTGTCTTACTTGTCTAAATTTAAGCATATTGTTTTTTAAGTAAATTCAGTTCTTTTTGAGCTTATATGTATATGAAGTACTTCGAAAGTTTTTGTCGTACTTAAATAAGATATACAGTCAGTCAATAAAGTTTAGGTACAGCGAAGTTTTTACAATACCGGCAACTATTTTTTAAATATTTTATTTTTACCTAATTTTTTATAAACATATGGTTAGTTCTACACCAAAAACCCCAAAAATCAGAGTTCCAAACCTTATGTAAAATTAAAGAAAACTCCGCAAATTTCCAACCAAATATTGCAATTTACACTCTTTAGAAAAAAGTTAAGTACGCAGTTTTTTAGCCCATTCAGTTTTAGTATAACAAAGTGCAAGTTTGATGTAGTTAGGACTTACCTCTGATATTTAGCAATTTTTTTTTTGTTAAATTTTGCACAAGGTTTGGAACTCTGATTTTTGGGGATCTTGTTGTACAATTGACCATATTTTTATAAAAAATTACCGAAAACTAAAATATTTAAAAAATAGTTGCCTGTATTGTAAGAAGTTCGTTGTACCTAAACTTTATTGACTGACTGTATTAAGGTAGCTGTGCTGGATTGCATAAAAAAAAAATTAATTTGTCTTTTCTTAAAAAAAGGTAGCTCTGGTGGCTTGCATTTTTAAACAAATTTAGTGAGAAAGTGATAATTATTTTGACAATATTTTTTTTAAATGCCTCTTTTTCTGCAACTGCATTGCCTTTCTCAATTCTCCTTCAGGATCTTGGCCTTTGTTTATGGAATCACTAANTAAGACCCAAACTTTTTAGGTCAAAATTTCAGTAGGTTGCGTCTGTATGGCCTTTTCAATTTTATAAATTATCATTATTTTTAAGTTGAAAAATAAAACTCAAAATTATTGATAATCTCTGCGCGAAAAAATAAAAATCATAAAATAATCATTATTTGTAATCCCAAAAATAAAAATCAAATAATAATTATCTCCGTTTGAGCGAAAGAATAAAACTCAATAATAATTCATAAAATAATGATTAAGTGCTGATTTAAATTATCTTACTCATAATGATTACCTTCCCTGCGTTTAAAATTTGAAATAAAATAGTTTGGTTAAAGTACCACATTTCGCTGCTTTTGGACTGGTGCGGGACTAGTTACTATCGGACTGGGTCGTTTTAGGCGAAAAAGAACTAGTACTGAACTAGAAATTTGGTTCACTAGTTCGTGTTTTTCCTACAGGGTAGTCTCTATACTACCTTCCACGAGTGTGAGACTCCCACCGAAGCGTGTTGGGCTACCCACTGAAACCCAAACTCCCACGGGTGTCCTCAGTAGACATCCGTCTTCTCGTTTGCAGCGGAGTACGAATTTCACGTATCTCGCAACTGCTTCCCACCTATCCGCACTGGAGATCATTACCCCAATTACTTTGTTCGGGGATATGTCTCCATATCTCTCTTCCAACATTCTGCGCGAAGGCAAGAAGTGCTCGCAAGTGAAGAATGTGTGGTGTACGTTATCGTCGACGTTTCCACAGTAGTCCCAGAACGGTGAGTCTACCCTTCCCATTCTGTTAATATATTCTCTGAAGTAATCATGACCGGTTAGGAATTGCGTCAGATAGAAATCGACTTCACCGTGTGGTCTTTTCAACCATGTTTGAAGGTCGGCTATCAGGGTGTGCGTCCATCGACCTTTTATGCTCGCATTCCAGTTTTGTTGCCATTTCTGGATTAGTTGCTTGCGTGCCTTTGCCGCGGCAGCTGCTCGGCCTATCTCGGCACTGAGATTGTAAATCTCTTTTCGCTCGTAATTGTCATGACGCCAGAAATAACTAAAACCAAGTCCGCGGACACTGTGCAGTATGCAGAAGCAATGCGTAGTGTCCCTCTGCGCTGGTCCGCAGACATTTGAATCAGGTATTCTTTGACTTTCAATGCGTAAGCCCATATTTCTGCCCCGTACAGGAGTACCGACTGGATTTCTGTCATCAAACCCACGGTCGCCCGGCTATTCCCAGAATGTGATTTTTTTGTCCAGCTTCACCCCTAGGTATTTTGTAGACCTTGAAGTTTTCACGGGCTGAGGTCCGACCATCATGTTTGTAATTGTTGGGATTCGTTTCTTGGTGNGTCACGGGCTGAGGTCCGACCATCGTGTTTGTAATTGTTGGGATTCGTTTCTTGGTGAGGAGCACGATCTCTGTTTTGGCTGTAGTCAATTGCAGACCGTGATCGCTCATCCATCTACTGCGCTGGGCATTACCCGTTCAGCTTGAGCTGCACTAGCTGGATGTTTCTTGCTGTTACGACGGTGGCCGCGTCGTCCGCTAANTACTGCGCTGCGCATTACCCGTTCAGCTTGAGCTGCACTAGCTGGATGTTTCTTGCTGTTACGACGGTGGCCGCGTCGTCCGCTAAAGCGAAAAGGAAGGCGCTCTCCGGCATTTCCGTATGCAACAAACTGTCATACGTAGCGTTTCAGAGGTCCCGGCTATGTACAGACCCTTCTGCCGCTCTGCCGGTTATACGTCTTTTTTTATGACGTTGTGTTGTGTCTTACAAAAGCCAATGGTCTCTGAGGTAGTCCCGAATCATATCTAGCAAGTATGTTGGAACTTATGCCGAGTTGAAGGCGTTCTTGACGTCCAGTGTGACTAGCAGCACTATTGGCTGCGTCTGGTGGCAGGCTTCTTCGGCTTTATGTACCGCCTCGACTACTTCGCTAATTGCTCCTATAGTTAAGTGTCCCTTTCTGAAGCCATGTTGTCGTGGTGAAAGGTCTCCTTCGTTTTCTATGGCTGACGTCAAGAATATTTTGGGTCCCCTTTGCCCTTGGGTATAAGCACCAGCCCCGCCTTCTTCCATTGGCTTGGGAAGACCCGGACCCTAAGGCAGATTATTATTATTATTATTATTATTATTATTTTTTAGTCGTTTTTCCTACAAACAAATTAACAGAATTACTTAAAATTAAACCGCTAGGATTAGAGTGTAAGAAAAGTAAGGCATTCTGTAACATATATTATGATAGCGAATGCCATCGTTGAATATAAATAATGGAAATTTACAGTTGTAAGTGGAGTGAAGTTGAAAGAAAATTACAATTATATTTATGATACGTAAGTATAAGCCTCAAGAAGTGGAAATTTCAGATTTAGGGTTTATAAGGTACCAGACTCCTGCGAAATCTAGATATCATTGTGCGATTGGTCTAATAGAAAAGTTTTTCAGTTTCCTAAAAATTCGCGCAAATTCCTTGTTAAACGAATTTTGGCAGGTAGGCCGTTAAACAGTTTACAGGAAACTAGGTAAAGAAGTTCTTGAAATGAATAGTTCGATACGAACGAACATTAACAAAGCTAAGCGTGGTTTTCCTCAAGTTATAAGTATCGGAAATTACTCTATGTAAATAACTGCAACGAAGGAAGAATACCTTTAGAGTCTTGTAGTAGTACATGTGTTTTATTGGCAGAATTTCCAGGGCCCTAAGTAGCTCTATGGAATTGTGAAATCGGCTAACATTACACATTTTTCTGCCAATACATTTTTGTATAGTCAAAAGTGGCTGAATCTTATTAGAAGATGCACCGACCCAACAACTTATACCAAATTGAATCTTAAAGTGGCCTAGGGCGTAATACAGAGTCTTCAGGGTTGCATTTGAACAGATCTTTCTAAGGTTATAAAAATGACGAGCAGTGGATTGCAAGTAGGACTGTAAGCGAGAAGTGTGTGAAGCCCATTTAAAATTTTGGTCAGCAGCA